AAATTGTTTTCTTATTCACATCAAAAACAGAGTAAAATATATTTATTGAGTATTTTAGTAAACAATCCAAGCACAGAGTATACTTAAACACATATTAATAAATTTGAATAAATATTATAAAATATTATTAACAAAAGAGTTTGTATATAAAAGTAATTTAGAAAATTATATAAAATTTAATAATAATAGTCAAAATAATTGCCTCAAAACTCTATTTTAAATGAATTGTACTCATTTAGAGTAAACACTTGTTTTTAAGTTTATATGAATCCTAATTTGAAATTCATTACAAATTATTTAGCCCTGACTTATAGTTATGTATACATTAAAGTTGTTTATATTGAATGACAATATTTCAACTAAAATAGACTATTTAAAAATGGGTTGAATTAAATACAACAAATAATCAGAATTGACGACAAATAATAGGTATAATCTTTATTAAAAATTACACTTGATGCAAATAATAATTAAAAATACAATAAAATACAAGATTTGCATGAAAATGATTGATTAAAGTGGGATTAGACTGTATTGGATTTGCTCAACAGTTTCAAATGGATTCAAATATTTTTAGAAGTGGTGCACAAGAGCTGTATATCCATCGCACAGATAGGCTCTGAGCACACCATTTATGGCTACGAATATAGATATGGGAAGAGAAAGACGATCCACAAGTGAACCAAGAATTCGCTTATTTTGTGTGCCTTTCAGTGCTTCCCTTCACTCGACACACAATATATAGTTATAGTCAAAGACTATCAGACAATTGTGTGAAATATTAATTTTTGCATTTTATTCAATCAAAACCAATTAAATTTCCATAATGTCTGACGAAGAAGAGTACAGGTATGTGTGTTCACTAGATTTGCATTTTAATTGTCACATCTTATTTGTCTCAAACATATATTCTGCTAAAATTTAATTATATATTTAGTAATTAAGTTTTGAGAATAGCTTTGAAAATACTTTTATATAAAAATATATTCACTTATATCTACTTTTACTCTATTTTCGCCCAATGATAGCGAGGAGGAGGAGGTTGAGGAGACCAGGTATGCATTCAATCATCTTTTATTTATTTTATTTATTAATTACTTCTTATTACTTGTTTTTATAGAAAGAGGTAATTATGATCTAATTGTCCGGCATATTCAGGTCAGATTTGATCGGCTTTTGTATTGTTAATGATTTAGTTTAACTATATTTTAATATTTGTGTAAAAGTTTGCTAACAAATAGTAAAAATCATTTGAAAAATCTATTTCAAAGACATTCTAATCTTTGGTGTAATCCTTCAATAATAAGTTTGAATGAAAACTTTATTTTAAATATTGATTGATTTGTTTGAAAGTACGAGCTCTGCTCCTAAAGCCGAGGCACAGCCCTCTGAGGCCGAGGCGGCGATGGAGGTATGGACTGAATACACGGTTTCATAAGTTTGTCCGGAATTTGAATTGAATTGATTGTAAATTCAGGAGAAATTGAGAAAAAAGAAGGCCGAAGACGAGGAGCAGTGGACTGATTACGTGGAACAGAGGAAGAAGGCCAGAGCTAAGGAAGAGGAAGAACTCAGGAAACTCAAGGAGAGACAGGTCTGTCATCAGTAATGCATTGGTTTGTGCGGAATATCAATGAAATGACTTCTTGTGGTATAGGCGTCGCGAAAGACCAAACGTGCGGAACAGGAGAAGATGTTATACGAGTTTAAGAGGAAACAGGAGGACCAGAGGATCCGAGAAATGGTGGGATAGATATTGAGTGCAATGACGAGAAATGTTGAGAAAAGCGATTGTAATGTATGTGCGATATATAGGAGGAGAAGAAGGCGAGGGATGCGGAGAACAAACGGAAGCGTTTGGAAGACGCGGAGAAGAAGAGGGCTGCGATGCAGGCGGCGCTGAATAAGACCAATCAGAACACACCGGTTGAGCGGAACTTTGTAATCACGAAACGCACGGACGGAGGGCCCGGCGCTGCGCTCGGAAACACTGGATTTGATAGAGTATTGACAAGTGATCCACAAATTGGTGACAAAGTCTGATGTGAAGTGTTTTTCGCAAACAGTTCTCTAATGTAATGTCAGCGCGAAGTGAAATGGGAAAGACTAAGGAACAGTTGGCTGAGGACAAGAAAATCGCTCTTTCCTTCCGAGTGAAACCCTTGCAAATCGATGGCCTGTCTGTGGATGAGCTGAGGAAGAAGACGGCCAATCTGTGGGATCTGATCGTTCAGTTGGAGTCCGATAAATACGATTTAGAAGAGCGACAAAAGAGACAGGACTATGACGTATGGATGCGCTTGTATTCAGTGTCTTATCAGTAGATCTTATCTTTCATGTAATCAACAGTTGAAAGAATTGGCTGAAAGACAGCGACAAATCAATCGCAACAAAGCGCTGAAGAAAGGATTGGATCCCGAGTTAGTCTCATATTTATTTCAATCATTAAAAGTGACTTTTGTTATCAAATAATTGCTTTCATTTTGACTCAATTCAGTGCCCTTTCGGGTAAATTTCCGCCGAAGATCCTGACGGCCAGTAAATACGAGCGACGTCTCGACAGACGGACTTTCGTTGATAAGAAAGGATTATATGAAGGCGTAAGTGATTATCGGATTAGATCTACAGATACCATAAGATCTACAGATACCATGAGATCTACAGATACCATGAGATCTACAGATACCATGAGATCTGCGGCCAGTTTAATGAGTCATTTCTAACGTTCATTGAATGCAAACCCAGGGATACGACGCTCAGGTGGAGGCCAGTCTGGAGAAGCAATGGGCGGAAAAGATCAATGAATTCAAGGAACGGGAGGTGAAGAACAACAACAAATGGGATCCGACGGCCCCTAAGAATAAGGAGACATTCGAACCGGGAGTTCGAACCTATGATGACGAGGGCGACGACGACCTGTTGGACGCGTTCATCAAACCTCCCGGTTTTGAGGAGGTGTTGGGCAGCACTATTGCCAGCACTCCCGCACCGGCAAAGCCCGCCCCCGCACCTGAACCTGAAGAAGAGGAAGAGGAGGAGGAAGAGGAGGAGGAGGAAGAAGAAGAGGAGGAAGAGGAGGAAGAGGAAGAAGAAGAGTAGACAATGAATTGCTGTTTAATAAGTGTCTCTCAAAAACTCAATGTAATAATAAAACGGATTATTTGTTAAACCGAAACACAAAAACTATTTTTATTTAAATACGAGTTTCAATTTTGGTGCACTTATAGTAAGACTAAACATACCATTAATTTGTTTAATGAGATGACAATTAAATTAAATTACCAATCGATGAATAAAAGTATGAAGTGAATTGTAATCAAGATTCATTGTATGCTTTTATTTGATAAATGCCTCAACTCTTCAATTCTTGTAATCATTTATTCGTTAAAAAACTATTTATGGGAAAATAAAAATTGATTTTTGTTTGTTTCAATTTATTTACATTTTTCACAACTAAAATCAACCATTGAATATGGATTAAAGACTTCATTTTAACTATAGATAATATTGTATTAAAACTGGCAGTATTGCGTAAAAATTATATTATTTTTACTTTATGATAAATTATAATAAGTTAACTATTTTTAGTAATATAAGTCTTTAGACTCAACTACCAATGATTTTTGAAAGATAAATTCTTTGAACATATAAATTAAAGTTGAATTATAAAATAAATTCATTATGAATTATATGGAATATCTTATAGAATATTGTATATTACAAATTGATCATGTTGAAAATGTTTAAATTCACTGTTACAGATGGCGAGTGTAGCTCTAAATGATTGCATACTTTGCTATTAATAGCCCGATTCTGTTATTTATTTTATTTGGAATATTTTCTTTTGTATACTAGAAATACAATTAGCTGCTTGTATAAACATATTTTAACAATGAAATTTGCTTTATAAAAGTTCTACAAACATCTATTATATGACATACAATTCTTATTCTTTATAATTCAATTTAAATTCATTTGCAAGGTAGCATTTCTTGACTTTATAGTATATTCATTGACAATGATTCATTGTACTGCAAAATACATAACTTACTGTATTATAATTTTATAAATATTTCATAATCTCTATTATTAAGATTTTATTAAGAAATCTATTTAACTAAAATAGTTATAAATGATGTAAAAAGTTGTAGCTTAAAAGAATATTCTTAAAGTTGAACTTATTGTAAAAATATAATCATGAAATCAATGATCTCGTTCAAGAGAAAGTTTCTAAAAATCTTTAGCATATAACATATCATTTAGATCTTAAAATTGTTACAATTATTTTGAGACTTTGGTTCAAAAAGTTATTTCCAATGCTTTGCATCAAATTCATTGATCGGAGCATTGTATGGATGGTAGTAGTGCTCAATTGCACCCACACTTTACGCTCTATTTAATGTGCAAATAATTTTTAGAGGATTTAAATAACTTGTAATTAATATTTTCAATATTCCTATAATTGAATTTCATTTTAAAATGATTGTGTTTTTAAGAAATCAATTTTAGCAAAAATCACTTATCATAATAAATTTTAATTAATTGAAAAATATGTCATAAATTTATGATACAATTAATGAGAATTGTCACAATTTGGTTGACATATTATTTGTTAAGCAATTACTGATATAAAGTCACGCAATGAGGCCAATATATTGGGAATAGTGTATTGAAAGCTATAGTAATATCAATATTACTATACAGTATCACATGTACTCTATATGTTCATTAGAAGTAAGAATCGATGCGTTAATATATGAGTCAATTCTTTGGCATTTATTTAGTATTAACTAAATATGACAAAATTTAAGTGACAAAAATGTATATTTATATAAAAGACTAATCCCTATTTCAAGCACTTCTAACACCTTTGCATATTTGGTCTACTATTGAGTGCTTTCATACGGAAATCCAAAGTCAAGTGATACTCAACCAAATAAAAGGCACTCATTTACCTTCAATTGCTTTCTATATATTGTATTGAAATCACATCTCATAAGAGAATTACATTCATTTCAAAGGAATAATAAGTTTTGAAATTTTTAGAAATACTGTTTAATACATGTGTATTAAAATGTTAAATTTAAAAATAAAATTAATTTACATTTTGTTTTTAAAAATATTTTATAAATATTAAAATGAAGTTATTTTTATCACATGTAAGACTGTTTTCAATTTAGCACTACTTTAGTTGTCTATAATTTGATTATTGCTCTCAAATGTGTTTAGATTTAATCTCTTTTATTGTGCCTACAATTTAAGTCAAAGGAGAGAGA